GTGCAGTGTGTAAGGTTTACTGGCATCTAGCGTTGAGCTTGCAGATTACAACCAGCTGAATACTCCTCCTTCACCCCGGCCTTTTCAAACGTGTAGTAGAACCTGTGGTGGCTGTCAGGTTTTCTGCTGTCGCCTGTCCCGATTTCGTTTTGCTTCTTCATGTTTTTGCTTCTTTGATGACAAGCGTTCATCCTCCCTTGCTTTTTATTGTGCTGAATAATAAGCATGATCCTCTATTTGTGAAAATTTGGGTTCTCCGGCAGCACCAAATTCAAGCTGCTGCTTAAACATAGAAAAGCGAAATGCGCTCTCTAGAGCCAGTGTTCGGTTTATCTGTTCTGGGCTACTGTAGAAACATGGCGGTGCAACATGACGACCTCTGTTGGAAGAGGACCCGCTCCCTATGTAGATATGAAGGGCTCATTCTAAGCTAACAACAACACAACGATTCGTAGTTACAGGTGATTAAAAACGAATGACTACATGGTTTTATATACTTTATATATTCCATTCTGCTAATAGATCCCCCTAAATCTTACACACTGCACCTTTAAATGTAATGTCATTATGTTAGTTATAGTTATACTGAAATACGCTGCCTGTCACAGCTGCCTCTTATCTGGAGTTAGGATAAGATTATGAAGTTAGAAACTGTTGTTCTGTAATAGCTGCTGTCCTAAATTCAGTCCTAACTGAAGCTGTCATGGTGAATAAACAGATAAGATTTGAGAGATATTATGTTTGTGTAATGCAGCCTCTGCAGTGTAAGAGGTTAACACACAGAGTAAGTGACAGGTCTCGCATTTTAATATTTGCTTGACACCATTTAGATATGCTGCGTTTTAGATGTTCGGCGTGGAAGCGTTTAATGCGGTGAATGATTACTGTAATGATTATAATGAGTAGTAATGATTATTAGAATGATTATTATATTTGGGAGAGTAATGGCTCGAGGGATTTGCTGGGTGTGTGATGGTGTGCGTGTTTGTGTCACTGTTCTTTGTTGGTTACTTTAGACACATTACATAAGGCGCTGGACAATTTATGTAATACTGCTCCCCTCACTTTCTCTCTCTCTCTCTCTCTCTCTCTCTCTCTCTCTCTCTCTCTCTCTCTGTCTCTCTGTCTCTGTCTCTCTCTCTCTGTCTCTCTCTCCCTCCCTGATTTCAGCCTGAGCAGATTGGGTTGTGCGGCACCAGGCTAGACTTGGGGTAGCTCACTACTAGTGCATTACCAACAATATATCACCTAATGGGACGCTAGCACGCTCCTGGAAAAGGTTTGGGGAAAACAGATCAATATGAAAACTCAGCATAATCTTCAGCCATCTGCCTCCTGCACACACAGCACAGCAGCAGCGCTGTTTAACCGTGGCCCACTGATGGGAAATGGAACCGCTCTCATAGACTCTGATGGAACGGCTTTCTGCAAGTGACTATTAACCCTGCAGGCTCACGCACACATGCGCACCCTCACACACACAAACATATTATGATTTGAGGTCTGACCTCTCATCCATATTCATGTGACATCCACAACCCCCCATGATCTACAGTCAGCACTGCACCACCAGTAACCTTCACTCTGTCCATTACTGCAACACTGCAGAGAGCAGAGCAGAGCAGGGGAGAGGAGAGGAGAGGAGAGGAGAGGAAAGGAGATCGTTGGAGAAGAAGAGTAGAGAGCAAAGAAAAGTAAAAGAACGTGAGGAAAAGAGAAAAGAGGGAATAAAGAGAGGAGATTAGTGGAAAGGAAAGGAAACAGAGAAGTCAAATGTATTTATAAAGCAGAGGTAAAATCAACACAGTGCTACACAGTGATTCAGACCAAATCTAACAGAACAAAGAAAAGAGGAATAGAAAGTAAATACACTTAATCAAAATAGGAAAAAAGAGGAGAGGAAGAGATGAAAGGAAAGATGAGAGGAGAGAAAAGCAAAGAAGAAGAGAGGAGAAGAAAGGAAAGTTCAGTCAAATGTATTTGTTAAGCAGATTTTAAGTCAAATAGAAGAGATGAGGAGAAAAGGCAAAGGAGAGAACAGAAGAGCAGAAGAAAAGGGAAGAAAAGCACGCAGAGAAGAGGGGAGTAAAGGAATGTGGAGGAGAGGAGTAGAAAGGAGAGTAAGGGAAAGTCAAATGAATGTGTGACGCAATACTTGAAATAAAATAATTGAAAAGCAAAACCTGAAATAAAATCTAAGTGAAAAGCAAAACGAGCAAAGAGAATTAAGGCAAAGGAGATAGAAGAGGAAAAGAGAAAAGAAGTGGAAAGGAAAGTAGATGAGAAGAGAGGAGAGTATCAAAGAAGAGAGGAGAAGAGGGGATGAACGGGATGAAGAGAGAAGAAGGGGATGAAATTAGAGTCAACTCAAATGTATTTATAAAGCATATTAAAGGCAATGCTAGCAAAGTGCTCTACACCAAGTATGTTAAAATATAATTAAAAGTGGTGAAAAGATGATTAGGAAGAATAAAGGAAAAAGACAAGGAGAGTATAGAGAAGGAAAGAAGAAGAAAGGAGGGGAGAAGAAAGGAAAGGAAAGCAAATGAGAAGAAAGAGGAGGAAAGGAAAGTAGAGGAGAAGAAAAGGGGGGAGAGGAAAGCAGAGGAGTCAAGTCAAATATAAAGCAAATATAAAATCAGCATGTTAGCCAAAGTGCTACACAATAATTAAAATGATATAGGATTGAAAAAAGAAGGGAAGAATAGAAAAGGAAAGGCAAAGGAAAGTAGATAAGAAAGGAGAGGAGAAGAGAAGAGAGGAGAGGAAAGGGAAAGAGAATTAGGGGGAGAGAAGAAGAAAAAAGAGGAGAGGAAAAGAGAAGAAAGAGGAGAGGGGGCTGGTGGTGCTGAGGGTGAGAGGGTTAGTGAGTCAGCGTGTGAGCGAGTGATGACTCTGTCGCTCCTGCACACTCCCAGCCCTGTGGGCCTACACGGACCACCTCACACACGCACACACACACACACACACTCACACACCTTCAGCGCAGTGAGACTGATGAGACATGCAGTGTGTGAGTGGGCAAGAGAGAAACAGCAGCAACAGCAGCGATGGAGACGGCAGATCCTGTGATGGCATGTCTTAAGTCAGTGTGCTTACACACAAGAGTGTGAGTGTGTGCGTTGGAGAGAGAGAGAGAGAGAGAAAGAGAGAGAGAGAGTGAGAGAGAGAAAGCAGAAGAAGAGAGGGAGAGAGCGAGAGAGAGAAAGCAGAAGAAGAGAGAGAGGGAGAGGGAGAGCGAGCATGAAAGAAAATGACTGTGTGCGTCAGGGTATAGCGAGGCCGAAGGATCTTTGTGGGAGTCGGAGGCATCTGTAGGTTTCCATGGAAACCTCGGGCCAATGCAGTTGTCTTGCTCTCTTGAGAGAAATTGTATAAATTATTTGCATCACTGACTGTGGGAATTTACATAGTCCATAGCTGTACGTCCCGATATTTTAGTCCACTTGTTTTGAACTCGAGCTTACTGATGAGTATTTTTCTGAGCAGATGAACACATGAGGGGGGGGGTGTGGAAAAGTGGGGCGGAGGCAGAGGAAAAAGAAAGGAAAAGTGAAGAAAGGAAGAAATCTGAAACAGGTCAAATGCAATAAGAAAACTGCCTGACCCTTCCATTTAACATAATTAAGTTATCTAAGGCCAGAGCGGTGTCTAATTAAACGAGGTGTGATCGCTGCATCACTCAATTAAGACGAGCGAGACCCTTTGCAGTGCTGAGGTTAGAGAGGCATCTGTCTGTAGCTCCTTTGACTGAATTAACAGAGAGTTGGCCGACTCTCACCTTAAAGACATGGGATGGGAGCGCTGTCAAACTCTGGAGGATCCTAAGCATTGCATCATGAGATAAACCTAATCGATGAATCGTTTATTCAATAAAATTGGCCTAATAAGATTCCAAAGACTTATCAGCACTTGAAATCCTGCATTTATATAATACAACATAAGAAAACCATCAATGTGAATGTGATGTTGTTTTGTAGATCAGAAATGGGCCAGATTTAGCACACTGTGTTCTCACTATGCACCTGAATTTAATGGTTGATTTACAAAGACAGCAGCTTATCATGTAAGCCCCATCTAACTGCATACCCATGAAGCGGGGGGTTTAAAAAGCATGAGACAGCATAGAAAATAAAGGTTCAGTGATGAACAGATGGTGGTGTTAGCAAATAAAGTTCTGGTCAGGTCTCACCCAATCACTTGACGCCACCAAGCTGGGTTGGTGCAGGCCAACACATGCTGCAGCCACCACATCTTTTTAATCTGCTGCTAATTCAAAGTCATTGGACAGCTCAACACGCTTGGAGGAGAACACTAACTGCTAATTCTGTTACTTCAGCTAACAGATGCCTATGTTGGCTAGCATTGCGCTGAGTGATGAGGGGTGAACGAGGTCCATTCTACCCACACGGAGAGAGCAAGGCCTATTATGCTGCCTTGGAATGTCTTATCTTGCGCCACATATGAGCAGTGCAATTTCAAATGTAATATATGTGTTATATTTATGTATAATATAATAAAATATATTGAAATCTTCTAGATTAGTGTCATGAAAATATGTAGTTTGCTGCTACGAAGCATGAGTGCCTCAACATAGCACTGGTATCTGACTGGTACTCGGTATTGGTCGATGTCCTGAATTTACATATCGCGGTCAGTATTTGAAAAGAGAAAAGACAGGCTGGAGCATCCCTAATGTACTTTAAATTTGAGCTGGTTTTAGAGTTTATGCTATGTACTATCATGCTTTAAGATTATTTTAGAAGCTTATTTAAAGGTTCTTTGTTTATATTCAGATTATTTAGAATTGTGTAAATCTCTGCTGTGTATTTATTAAGAACTGTTGAAATCATCTAAGCCATTAAAATTACGAAAATTCTATGTCCTTAAAATCGATATCGGTGTTGGACAAAATCATCATATCGGTCAGCCTTTGGAGGCCTCTGACAGTAACACTTTGTATGCTGATGTCTTTCTTCTCTCTCTCTTTTCTTCCCTAGGCTTACCCGCTCACGCCACCACGCTGCTCCTTCTGAATCCTGACCTGCACACCTGTCCTGTAATACTTTCTCTGCGATCCCCCACTCCCTCCTTTTCACCATCCCGATGGATTGGGAGCGCTCCGATCCCTCGTTCTGTTGACCCTCTGGCCGCGGGGGTAGAGTGGAGCGGGCAGGATTTGCTTTTTTCCTCACAGTCAGTGAGCGTTTCGCCCCAGCCGTGCCCTCCTCTGATGGAGAGTTAGTTAGAGGCGCGGGTGCAGCCGTGGGAGGGAGAGAAGAGGGGGCGAGTGACAGAATCACAACACATTAAACAACACAGGCAATCCCCAGCGACTGAGACGGAGTCTCAGGGCGTTCCATAGATCTGGACCAGAGGAAGACGCATAGGCGCGAGTAAATTGGCCGAATAGAAGCCGAAGAATCAAAGATGTCCACGACGGCCACCATGGGCGAGATGGCGAACAGTGCAGTGGAGTTTTACCCCAAGAGGAGCGGCAGCAGGGCAGAGGCCAACCACTCGGGCGACTTCGGGGCCTCTTTGGAGGAGCTGCGGTCTCTGATGGAGCTGAGAGGAGCCGAGGCCGTTCAGAAGATCCAGGAGAGTTATGGAGACACAGAGGCGCTCTGCCAGAGACTCAAGTCTTCCACCACAGATGGTAAGAGTTGCTTTACTCTCATCTGCATGTTCCTGTCCTCTTGTTGTCTCTCTCTGTCTCTCTCTTTGTCTCTCTCTCTTTCTCTCTGTCTTTCATTTTTTTATGAAAAGCAGTCCTTAATCTCTGGAGGTCCCAGGGAACACATTGTAAACTATTAAAAATGTTTGTATAAAACCCAAACTGAGAGCTACATTCAAACTTAGTGTTATACAACTGGCAAAGTTCGGATTTGGCATGCAAACATTAGTCCTTTTCACTGATAATCGACCATTATTAATTTTAGGGATGAACCTAAAATCATTAACTTGACCAATGAAAACGTCAAACACAGCACTGCGTTTTATATTTAAAATGCTTCAGGCTTTGTTGAAAGGAAAAATGCAACTTCATGGTACAGATATGTACACAAGTGGGCAGTAACACTACTGTCCACTTGTGTACATACTTACGTTTACTGCATATCACTAGCCCAAGTTAACGAGTATATCGTTGTTGTCTTTACAGGAAAAGGACATAATTTTAATGTAAGTCAATGGAACCAGAATTTTTTTCAAGTAATTTTGGGCCGTTTCTTTTGGTCCATTCATCATTAAATTTACACACAATGTAAATGATAACAGGCATTTTCAAAAACTGAAAAACAAGAAAAATGGAGATACGAGGTTTTCTTCGGACAGCAGCGATATATTATCTGACCATGCTAGCTAGTTTGGATGAAAAAAACAAGATAGAAATAAAATAAAACACTGCTTAAAAACACAGATCAGACCTGTCTAAGAACTTCCTGCACATGGTCTTTAATATTCTTATGAGTGCATTTGATTGACATACCTCTGTCCATGGTTCCCAGCCTGCCACACCACTGAAGCACAACTAAACGCAGCAAAGGGAAATGAGTGAAACATGCACTTTAAATGCGGGTGCTGTTAACCCCACTGTATCCGCTAACTCACTGGATGTTTGAGCTTTTGTTTGCTAGTTAACTTGCGCGTTCAAAGTTTTCTGACTCGAACAGAGTGAAATGGTGGAGAATGCATAGTTCTTTTAAATCTGCCTGGGTGGAACAAGCAGCATCAGCTTTGTCATTGTTTAGGGTACTATACTCAGAACTGGGACTGTCCAGTTTACACTGGTAAGGGAAAAATGTGGTGAAATATATAATCATTTATTGGTAATTGGGATGTTCTTCACAGTACCTACTTCTATACTTACATATATCGTATATCGTTTACCTTGAAAAATAAGATTAACCTAATTTGAAAACACAGGTTAGGTTCCCTGGGACTTTAACCCTTAGATGTGAAGAGGTACTTTTTTCTTTTTACCATTCCAGTGTAATTACATCAATATATAGTGGGTTACACAATGAATTACGTTTACATTCAAATTACATTAGACACGGACAGCTTTGAATCTACACTTCAGACTTTTTGATACAAAGCACCTCATGAACCTGGTTTCTGACTCACTCACTCACTCACTCACTCACATTTAGCAGGCTGAAAATTCTCCACAAGTGAGCGCCATTAGCAGTCAAATAGCTTTTAACGCTTTGCATTAAAGACACTGCGTCTTTCTTGCTGTTTGTTTAGATGACTGCAATAACAAAAACTTGACAGAATCTCTGCAAATAAAGACTGTATACGCAAAAATAACTGCATTAAATTCAAATCATAATAGAATGTCTGCTTTATTACTTACAAACGTGAACACGGTACTTATTGAAAGTTCATAACCTGCATCTGATGGAATTTCTGTTGTTTCAGTCGACATACAACTGAGTAATAAATATTATCAAATGTTGGCAAATGTGACTTCTAATGGTTTTAAAGTCTAGGCTTATTCATTCAAGCATAATAATGCTTATTATCTTAACTACTATTAATTATTCAGTAACTACTATGAACCTTTATATAAAGCCCTACACACATGGAAATACATATTTGTGACACACAGTTATAAAATAATCTGGGTGTGTTTTGTTTAATACCTTTTAGTGTTTGGAATGTTTTTGAAATGTATCTCACATATAAAATGTATTTTTTTTTCATACAGGCAGTTATGAGAGTGAGAGAGGGAAGTTAATGACTGTGCTCCTCACTGATTGTCTCTGATTTTCCTTCCCTTCTATTTCTGTTTTATTCCTGTTTCTCTCTCACCCACATACTCGTACTGCCTTTACCTCTCTGTCATTCTCTCCGTCTCACCTGTCTGTTATCTACATTGCGGCTATCGCGTTCGTTCCCTGCTAATGTAGTTCATTTTGCTTTGAGTCACTGAGTGAGCGCAGGCTCAGGAAATAAAATCCGCAAAATCCACCTAGTAATTTTCCTCTCTTTCTTCCATTCATCCATCCATCCAACCTTCTCTCCCTCACTCTCTCTCTCTCTCTACCCCACCCTTAATCTCTCTCTCTCTCTCTCTCTCTCTCTCTCTCTTTCTCTGTCTCTCTCTCTCTCTCTCTCCCCTTCATCCCCCTCTTGCCACTCATCCACCATTTCTCACTGTCTCACTCAGCCAACTTCCCACTCTGGGTGCAGGGCTTGTGTCGGGTTGCTAGGCTACGGCGCTGTCGGTGGTGAGGTGGGTGTAGGGAGAGGAGGTTACTGGGTAAACAGTTCTCCGCTGTTGGTGAGACTTGCTCATTCAGTCATGGACTAGAAGGACCACACTCTATAAACGCTAGAGGATCTGTAATTGCGTTAAATTGGTCCGTCGCAAGGCCTGCAACAGTTTTAGGTGATTAGGCGTTGATGATGTGTCGTTTACTTAAAAACAAAATTCTCTAAAATGTAGTATAAAGTTTCTATGTTACGCACATCATTCCATCAGATTCAGTAGTAGAGTAAAGCGATAAGCCACGAGAGGCCCTGTGTTACTTTGGAGTGAGGGGTGTTCTTGCCTAAAACTCCTTCACTTGTGGTAAAATCACTGTAATGCATGGCCTAAAGTAGCAATAAACAATTCTTCAACAGGAAATGTTGTTAGTTAAAAGTATGCTATTGTTATCAAGCAACCACCCAGATAGCGGGCATATATCGGTCAGCTGTCTTGATAAGGTCGGCACCCCACTGACCGTTGGCCACTGCTGGTCCACTCTCGGACCACCCAGATTATCATCTTGCATACAAGCTCTACCTCTACCTTTTAATCTTCCCAAACAGATTCGACATGCACAGAGACTTTTATTTTAGAAAATAAACTTAATAATTCATTAATAAAAATAATTAATTAATTAAATAAACTTAATAATAAGAAAAAAAATACTACTAGGTTTAAAATAAAATGATTTCATAGATTTTATGTTGTTGCTGGCTCTGTGATAGATCAAAATCACTTACTAAACCACTTTACAAAGTATAACTAAATAAGGGAAGGAAGGAAAGATAAGTGAATTGGACTGTGAGGGGAAAGTGAGTGATAATAAGTGGAACTCTGTCTAATACTCTACTTAACCACCAGTGGGCCGTCCGGAAAACGATGAGCAAAACGCAAGTGGACTGCCAGCTTTGTCTTCAGCGGGCCGACAGTGGTCCACTATCCTCTTGCTATCAGGGCATGGACTTCTGAAAGTGGACAAAGCGGTCATGTTGTATGTTGAAGTCATTTCATTAACTTTTACATTTTTCCATATAATGAAAATATCATAATGTAGCACTGTTAAATGCAAGAACCGTCATCTTAAAAGCCTTCGCTCATCAAATTAACACCACAATGATAATCCCAATATGCGCTATTCTTCAGGGCAAATTGTGTTGTGTTAGCATCAAGCTAACCATGCCTCACTTTTGCTTTCTTCATACTGGGTTTAGCATGTCAAGAAATATAGACATTTGAAACATGTAAGACATTCAAGTAACATATTTTTTACTTTTTATTTTGCAGTTTTATAGTGAATCATTCAGTAAACACTTCAATTCAAAGCCTAACACTGAATATTAATGGAAGACCAGTTTCTTAGCATCTCTTAGCATGTTTAGCCTGCTATCTTTTAGCCTAGTTTTTAAGGAAATAAGTTGTCAGGCCTTTTAAACAAAACAATGCGCTCGAGGGTCCATGTGAGCAGCATAACAGTCCATTCGCAGCACAGTGGTCTTTAGCGACTTGGTGCATTAATAAGATGGTCGTAGGCGTGTGTATATTGAGTATTTTGCAATGGCTTTAAATGCTTAGGCAATAAGATTTTAGGACCAGAACTATCCAGTTTGTAACTGAGATTTTATGGGCCCAATTGCAAGAAAACTGAATGGACACCCAGATACGAATATTACATTCAATAAATTAAAAATGACAGTGTAGTGTCTCCATATGTTGCTTTAATGTAGACTAATGGTTGAAATATATTATAAAAGGTTGTATAAATTGTCCAATTTAAGAGGCCCAATTCCTACAGGACAGTGTTGTTTCCCTGCCTGTACTGCTGGTAGTTATTCCACATAAAAGATTGCAATACACTACAAGAAGCATTGAGGGTAATATGACTTTGTTGTTGTGTTGTATTGCAAAAGAATATACAAACTTTAAATGATAGCTGTGAGAGGACAAAATGAATGGAAGCAGCAGGAGGCATTACAGTTCAATCAGTTAAAATCAAATGATAATTTAAAAGATTTGTTGATCATAGCAACAGTTGTTAGTTGCAGGCCTTCTGGAGTCTATGAAAGGTGTATGACAAGATCTTTATAGATATAAACATGACTAGGAGTTTAAATCCTTTGCTGTTAGTGGTTGCTTGTCCCATTATGTGCCCTGGTGATATATTTGATACTTTGTTCACTGCTTCACAGCCACTGGTTATAACATTATACACACATTTGGACTGATCTAATGTCTGTCCCATGAGTACAAACCCATACTTCAAAGAAATGGACTTGAAACTAGTAGATGGATAACAAGTTTAGTGGAGTGAGGAATTAAGTTCTCAGATGTTTGTGGCTTGGAGTTCTGCTGTTATCTGATGTTTGAAACTCACAATGGCAAATCCAAGCTGTGCTCCATGC